ACCTCTAGGGCTTGGGAGAAAGCTTCTCTTCTCGAATTGAGAGCATTGTATCCGTGCAAACTTGTAAGTCTTTTGATATTCAAGTTATTGAAGTGTTTGTGAGTGTTTTCATCCAAGAAATTTCGCATTTTTCCACCATTTTTGGGCTGTTTTTGCTGGATTCCGAAAATTACAAACTAAGCTCCATCACATTGCAGGCCTCACTACCATCTTATAGAATTTTCCCTTAAGTTTGAGGGGTACATTTCTATCACATAACAAGCCCGATGCATTCCTCCACTTCAACCATCCAACTTGAATTTTGCTGATAATATCCCCATCTATTTCACCATCACTCTGAACAATAGATCCAAGATATCTAAAACGTGTACTCTTATTAATGACTTGATCGCCCAAAGTCACAATCCCCTCACTAGGTCTATTACTACTAAAATTACACTCCATATATTCCGTTTTAGATCTACTCAAGCGAAAACCTTTAGACTCTAGACCTCCATAATTCAAGTTTACCTTCAACTCCCCCTCTAGTCTTATCAACAAGAAGAATATCATCAGCAAAAAGCATACACCAAGGTACATCCTCTTGCAAATGTCTAGTGAGAACATCAATGACTAAAGCAAAAAGATATGGGCTTAAGGCTGATCCTTGATGTAACCCAACCGAAATAGGGAAATACTAGGTCAATCCACCTTGTGTTTGAACACAAGTAATAGCTCTTGGAGAAAAAGATATACCCTACTGCTATAAATGATTTATTAATTGTTACATTTTTCTATTTAGATAAAAACTCCAACAGGTCGCTGAGTTAATACCTAGTTATGTTTGCTACTCTTTTAGAGTTAATTTGTATGCCGTGCACCATTGTTTAATAATCCAAAAATTACATAAAAACCTTAATGCTGTAAAAAATGTGCATTGCCAGGATGGCATGATCTGCTTTAGTCCTTTTGTCACGAAAATTTTAAACAATTCTTTGACACTTCTTAAAGGCAAATATTTGAACTACATTAGATGTGAGTTTTTTTTTTTATTATTATGACAATATCGGTTGACCTATACATGTTAAGTTCAATATTTTAAGAGCTTCCCTTTGTTAAATGTGTCTATGTTGCCACTCTGGATGTTTTTTGTACCTCTTGCACTTTGGACCTGCAATAGTAAGAGTGCCTTGCAGATAAATTTGGAAATTTGTTGTTGAAGCTCGTAAAAGGGAATTGTGACTTTTCATCTCAATACAAATTACAAAGAAGCAAATGCCAAACATCTGTGTTTGATTATTATGTTAAGCAAACTAACACGAAAATTCTAGTTTTATGAGTTTTGTCTCATGCAACTTTTTATCACATTATTATCATATTCCATTTTGCTTTTACCTATAACTCACTCAGAAATCTTGACTTTTTATTTTAATTTTTTCTTTGCAAGCATTTATGTATACCAGAAGTGATAGGTAGAGTATGCCTTCTGTTCAAATTGACCGGAGTATAACGATAAGGTTGAATACATAAACCCCTTCCAAAATCCTTCATTGGGAGGAGCCTCATAATTCATCACAGAAATGCTAATCCGTGGCTGTTTTGTTGTACCAATCACGTTAATCATCTTAAATCTCCATTTTCCAAGAAAAAATGATCCATTGCCCATGGTAGAAAAATTTGTAGGCAACTTTAAATAGTTAATGGAAATATTGATAGAAACTCTGAAATGAAGATTATAGCATGGTTTAATGGTGAATAATGACAGAACGTATTTTCACATAGCTTTATGTTTCATTTTATAATAGAATGTAGCAGGATAACAGGGAAATTTATACATGACTAAGATTGCAATGGAAGTGGTCGTCTTGTGTGCGAAGTTTAGGATGCAAGTTGATGAAATTTTCGCATTATGTTTCTTAGTCACTTTGAATTTCTATTGTCCAACTTAGATTATATGGATTAAATTAAATTCATCGGAGGAAACTTTAAAAACCTGCAGGATGTTTGCATGCCAGTGATGGATGGTCTGCAAGCTACAAAACATATACGGTCTTTTGAAGAACATGGATACTGGGATCCAAGTGTAACTTGTTCAGATTCCCCAACAATGCCTTCAGGCACAAAGAAGTGCAAGAAGAGAACAACGATCATTGCAGTAAGTTCTTGATTGCAGGATAAATTAAATTTTATGACCTTCTCTCACTTATTTTTGATGTGCTATTCATGGTTTGTTTTAATATTATCAATTTACTAGGATTAGAAAAAGTTTTTAAGGAATTTTCTTGTCACGCATAACGATCTCTTCCATTCATGTTTGCAACTATTTCATTGATATCTGGCACGCTAAGTGGAACCAGACCAGTCATGCAAGGCCATTTTTTATGGCTATATCTTAGAATTCTGATTGCAACTTAACAAGCTTTGATATCCTTTTTCTTGTGGCTCATAGTGAAGTTACTCCATCCTCGCTGCAAGTTGTATTATTTAAAATTTTATTTGTTATTCTCTCACTCATTGCTCAACCTACAGACATTATAAGTTCTAACTAGGTATACGAAGACCTGTGTATGCTTTTGTTGGCATGTTGGGATAAAAGACCCTCTAGCCGTGGTGTCTTATGATGCTAATCATGCATGTCTTTCTCAACATGCCGGGTATACCCAAGCTGATGAATATGCCCATTATGTAGGGAAGACCATCGGAGGCTAACATTATTTACACTGATAGATGATCCAATAAGAATAAAATAAATGACTTGTAAACAAAAAACAGTGCAACTAAAAATGAAAATTATAAATGTTAAACTCACAACGTGAACGATATGAACATTCAAAATCTAATATGTTGTGATAAATAAATATAATATTTGAATTGAAACAAGACTTACAAAGAACGTATAACAAACTTGAAAGCTCGCTTATGAGCAAAGAACCTCCCTACCACTATTAAGAATGCTCTTAAACAATTGAAATGCTTAAAGAAAATACTCAATGGGTTAAACTTGAAATGAAAATGAGTTAGGATGAGCTGTTATTTATAAATCGAAAGTTGACTCCCTATGTGACTCATTCAAGTAAAATATAAGCAATCTGCAAATAAATAGTTTCATTTAAAGAACACACAAGATTTTGACGCATGATATTCGCAACCATATTCATAATACACGCACAAATAGATGAAATGCAAGCAATAATAAATCCTAAATGCAAAGTGTTACATCCTAAGATCAAAATGGTAAGACAGATCAAAATGGTAAGAATTGTCTAATTTATCTATTTTTAAATCATCCCAGAGCTTCTATAAATCATTAATATAAATTAATATGTCCATAAAAAGTAATTAAATATCATTCACAATGGAATATTTCATTATATTCATTCTCCTAAATCATATTTACAATAGCCAGGAGATCACTAACAATCAACAACTCGATCAAGAGCTCCTTACTACAAAGGAATACATAAAGATACAAGACAAAAAGAATAAAACCTGAAGATCTCAATATATCTCACTCCATAGAGTACTGACTTCTTTCATGACCTAAAATCAATAAAATTGCATAATGCGCTTATAAAGCAGAAACCTAAAACTCACTAAAACTTTCAATACAATATTTAAGGAATCACTATGCATGCTCATCTCAATCAATAGAATCAATAATGTTTAATATTATAAAATGGTCAGTCATTATTGGTTCAATTCAATTTGATCAATTGTGAAAAGTAAGATAATCATGCTTAAATCCATAGATTAACAACAGGTGCAGGAACGTAAATACATCCGTAATCAATAAATTAGAAAATAATAAATCAATATTGTAGATCATGAACATACAGGTGTTAATGTGATAAATCTTGTTTATTATCAATTTTCTATTATAAAAGTAGTACATGTAATCATTCATATGCTATATATCTACACACATTTCTAATCTATCTATCATGCTATTCATGTGTGTATTCTTTAGTATATGATTCAATAATGTAGTACATCCAACTTTAATGTGATGTTTTCATTCTTTCATATGTATTTATCACTATTATTATCATTATAGTTTCTTTATCATTATTATTATTATTATTATTATTATTATTATTATTATTATAGATGACTTTCAATAAATTATTAAAAGTCGTCACCTTCTGCTCGTTGGTATAATCAATTACAAACTACAATCGAGATAACACCACAAATTATCTTTAAAAGAAAATCTGTCAGCCCACCCTCCTGCGCTGGGTATTATGCTTTAAGAGCTAATTCATTTTAATTCTAGTGTTAACAGCTAGCCTTCCTTGCTTACATACAAATGTCATATTTATCTTATATTGACTATATCAATCCCTCTTTAATGTATAAAATGTAACATGAAAGATTTAAATCTATAAAATAGAGGAAAATTTGCATATTAGTCTATAGCTTCATAAAATTATTACTTTCATTTTAGCTGGTGAAATTTAATAATATTACAATTAAAATGTCCATCAAGTCCATAATTATTGTATACGAAACGTTATATGGTAAAAGTGCGATAAATTAGAAAAAAATGCATTTTTATCAATTTAGAAGAGATTAAATTCATTAAACTCAAAATCATTAAAAATTAGAGTGACATTCAGGTTATTTAAAATGATCAGAAGACTTTTCTAACTAAATCAACGAATAAAAATGACCAAACCACACTCTCTTCCCACTCTCCTCTTCCTCTCCCTTTCCTTCTTTTCTTCCTTAGCAAACCAGCCGAAATGGGGGAGGTGGAGGCACTGGGGTGCTTTAGTACTTAGGATTTAGAATAAAATATATGTAAAAGCATTGTTAGTGGCCTAACACCGCAACACTTCTCGCAGCATCGCAGCGCTGCCTGTTGAATCCAGAATTATTGTAGAACAAAGCTTTTATTGATGAACATGCAAACACACTATTAAATGCACTAAAGGTCATGCAAGCATATTAGTGTTTCACATAAGTTAATCAATAAATGTTTAAATGTGTCATGCAAGTGTACTACGAAGTACACAAGTGCAGTATGCGAATGAATGCTCAGTGAAACGTATAAGTACGCCTTACAAATGAATCAAAAAAATTGTGTGAGATATCAGATCATTGAAATCAATTCACCCATATGTGCTTCAATCGAAAACATCAAATTCTTGAATTTGAGGTTTGATAATACTTACACAAATCAAAATAAAAGTAAAATTAAATTTGACTTTAGACTAAGAAGTGTGCCAATGCCTTAAAAATAGATATGTTATCACTATGAAAATATTACAAACTCTTTTAAAAATTAAACTCATCATTGCATGATGCTCTTGAGCAGACCACTCTATCTGTTGGGTAACGTTTTAAGTCTTGTATTTCAATTCTAATCCTCCTCATTAGGAGTGAAGTTGACACGACTTGATTATCATAAAAGATATACAAGTAGTAAATTTCAAATAGCTCAATATAAAAGAATCATTTTCAAATCTTTTACTAACGAATGGATACATGGATGGAAAATCCTCAACGATATTTAGATTTACATTCGTATTTGGCCTTTAATATTTCAATAAAGAAAATTCTTTATAAAAATATAAACTATTGAGTTCACCGCACATACGGTAGCTTGTAAAGTTAATACCAGAACTCGATCCTCTGTTAGCAAATGTATAGCGTTTACAAGGTTCAAGTAATAAAATAAAATCATTTAAACACATCAATGATAGTGATGTTGACAGAAGATATCAATCAGGGGAGATTATATGATTTTCAAAATGCTCCCAAATTTTGAAGTTAATCATTTGGGGTATAATTTCCAATAAAATTTAAAAATCTAATATTTATCAATATATAAAATTATTAAAGCAAATTTACCACCCTAAATTTAAAGTAAAAATCTATGCATCTTCCACAATCGTTTGTCAATGTTAACAATTTAAGAACACCTAAACTCATGAAAAGCCGGCACTATCTTATCGCTTGTATTATTATTATTCATTTTCAAATGATCTCTCATTAGTAAAGACATGGAAAACGTCTTCTAATCGATAATTTTGTCGTCCAATGTCACCATATGTAAATGGAAAGACTAAGACCTTCGATAGAGTGGTTTTTGCCACAAAATTTCACCATTAAATTATCATTATGGCCAAAGCCTGCAAATTCCCCAATAGCTAGAAAATTCTTGAGTGATTATTCATAGGGCACATTTGATATAGTACAAACCTCCCGGTTAGTTAAGTTTGACTTAAATTTATCCTCTTACAAGCATTCACCCCTGGTCTATAAGGTTCATTTGAACCAAACAACCGATAATAATCTTTAAGTAATGTTGGGTCGACTACCTTTTTTTAAGTAGTCTAGGCATGATGATAACAAGTGATGATGGAACTATGAGATCTTGATCAGATTCCTTATCATTTCTCCTACTATCCACTTTAAGTATAAGGTTATAAATTCCAAACCCAAAATTAAAATTTTTGCTATTATATGCTATGCACTTAACTTCTAACGATTACTTTTAATCGAAAGTTCATCGGGAGGGGCAATTAGTCATAACACCTATAGGATGCTTAGAACCATATCATAAGATCTTCGCAAAATGAGTGCGAACTTGTTGGGTTATGTTTTATCATCAACCTGTTTTGTCTTCTTAAAATTTAATTTAGAAACACCTAAGCTCTCTCAACAGAGTCGGGACCTGATTTTTTTAGCCCAAGGACACATTCTTGGAAGGATGACTTTCAAATGTATTTTAGTTCTTACCTTTTCATTGTGATTTGCTGTGTTCTGTTGATCAGACTGCAATTTATACTGTACAAAAATGATCTACAACTATCTCATCATGGAAAACTTAAAATTCTAGTAATAACAGGATTGACTTCTTTATAGTTGGTTGAATCTTTCTTCTCTAAAGAAACAGTTTTTTTTTTTTATTGAACTGAAAGGCTTCAATTGTTGTAAGTTGATGTATTTATATTACCATGCTTCATAATATTAACTTTTATCAATGACTGTAATATAGGAAACATTGTTTACACTATAAATATCTTCCAAGCGTAGAACATTATGCAGAACTTAAGCTCTTCTAAGAAAATTTTGCTTATTGAAACCACTTTCTGTTTTGACATCAATGCATTCAAGCTCTTAGAAGATCTGTTGGTATATATCATAATTAACTGCATAAGTTCTCATTTTGTTCATAATAATGTTTTTCTCATTCAGTTAATAAAACAAACTGTTGCAATCGAAATACGGTAGAAGACAATGTATTTGGGTTTTTGTTAAACATTTTTGCTTACCCTTGAATCTTAAACTTCAAACATGCAAATTGCAGAAACATCAATTGCTTCAATTTCGGTAATTATTTTCTTCTTGGTAAGGCTTCATTTGGGACAACCTTATTACGGCTTCTTAAAATAGTTTTTTAGTACAAAAGTTAAAATTTTTGTACTCAAAAAAGCTGCTTTAAGAAGCAGTAAAAAAGCAGTCCCAAACGAAGCCTAACCCACTCATGCTTTTAGAAGCAGCTTCTTATATCTTTCTATGAATTGCAGATGACAGCAAATGCCATGGCAGAGAGTGTAGCGGACTGCCTTCACAATGGCATGGACTCATTTGTATCAAAACCAGTGACTTTTGAAAAATTGAAAGAGTGCCTCCAGCAATTCTTCCCTTGTTAAATATTGTATATTTTAGAGCTAAAGGAAATGAACTAGTGAATGAAAATTTTGTAATTATGTGTCTTTTTGGTTTTCTTTTTCAGAGTTCCTCTCGTGTTATGTAATTGCATCTATAAATTCACTCTTCAACCAATTAAAGACTGGGTGGTTATAAATTTTATATGTTTGGATAATGCAAAATAAATATATTGAGCTTTATGTATTCATCTCCTGTTGCAATCTATGTTATTTATGCAAACTGGGCAACATGGCTACTATAAAAGCTAGTTTTAAGTATTTATTGTGTTAGATAGTGCTCATTCATCTTACTGTTCCATTATAATATTTGATAAGCTTTGTGGTGAAGGAAGATTTTTGCAGGGAGAGAGAGTCAGAACTTGATGGTTCATTTGTTTTTGCCTTCAGGTCATACATTAATGTCTTCTCTTCCTGTAATCTTTGAGAGAGATTATTTTGTGCGGACATCGGGCACACCTTACTATTCAGATGCGAATCAGGTGCAGCCACGTCATCCAGTATCAAGCTCGGTACCGAGCAGTACTGAGCCGCGGTACTGAGTAGGGGGTGATGTGGCGCATTTTCATTGGGCTCTGGATGACGTTCAGCGTCCGCACAAAATAATTCATCAATCTTTGAGGCCATTGCCATGGTTGTATGACTGGCAGACGTTGCCCCTCTTGTTAAGGGAGATGTCTCTATGGTGCATTGAACTCCTAAAATATGTAAATCATTAATTCTTGGATGAGGAAGAAGATGAAGTCGACCATAAGGAGCAAGTCGGGTTATGCCACTCGACGTAGATGAAGGTGAAGGGCACTTTCATTAGATGGCAATCTGGAGCTCTAGAAATGAGTTGAGGAAACTAATGAGCTCCTGATGTAGGCCTCTATTTTTGTGTTCTCTAATGAACTTTCATCCTTGCTTCTCCACTAAGCTTTGTTGTTGGTCCATAATTAGGTTATCTAGCTCAACATGTTGTTGTCTGCTCCCAATGCCACTCATACAGCATTACCTAATCCATCAAGCCCTCGTTGTTTAGGGTTTCTCCTAGCATCATGCATCGCTCATACCATTAATGCCTTCTCCAGTGAGCTCTTGTTAATTCCATGTCAAGAAAGCTCCCATCCTTCTACATTGAGTTCCTAACATGATGTTTGCTCGAGTTCATGAATCTAGCTTCAATCTACTATTTTTTCTAAAAGGGCCGAACTAGAGCTCGACTTTGAGCCTGCCATTGAATAGCAAGCTAACCTTGAGTTAGCCCTAACTCAAGCCGGCTCAACTCATTTATACTCCTAATAATTGAGAGATTCTTCTATGCGGGCACCGGACACAGCTTATCATCCAGAGGTGAATCAGGTGCAACCACGTCATCCAATACCGAGCAGTACCGAGCTGTGGTACCGAGTATGGAGTGACATGGCTCATTTTCATTTGGCTTTGGACGACGTTCAACGTCCGCATAAAATAATTCATCATAATTGTAACTTGCTTACTAAGTACATGATTTGCATTTAGTGTCACAAGAATGATTACATATAAAACTTATTTAAGGCTTAAATTCTATGCTTTAAATAAGTTGTCAATCTTAAATTAAATGATCATGAAGAAAGTAATAGAAGATAAACCATTTTCTGATGATAAAATTCCACATGATGATGGCACTCACTCAAGCGTCTTGTGATGTTTATCTATGACAAAAAAGCATTTTAATTAGATGGCATATTCCATGATAAGAGAAGATTACAAACTAGTTTCTTTTTTTTACATAAAGCATCATATTGTCTTATTATACTTGGCACAACCCTATGGTTATAATAGAAACCAAACCAAAGCATTCCCAACACTTCAAAGAAGAGATAATATTGAAAGAAGCACACCAATGAGGAGTTGATTTGATCAACTCTATAAAAAAAATATCAGCTTTTAAAGAAGAGATAATATTGAAAATGTATTTGTAAAAGTTCCAATCAATTGCCTTCAAGAGAAGTTTAACATTGTTGAGTCCATTACAAAAGGTAATAGGGGATCTCTAGAGAAAGGTAAAAGCCAAGCGACAAAAATAGTCTCCACAAAGTTTGAGTGTTGTTTCCAATAGTTTTATACATAAACCTACACTTGAGCTTGATCGAATTCTCTATCTGAAGTAGAATAAGAAAGTGGTCTAAGGCTAGAGAACCAACAATTTTGAAGTAGGGATGTGAAAATCGGATTACGGGTCAGGTTCGGGTCGAACACGATATTGACCCGCCACTGGATGACACGACTTGAACCCAACCCATTTTTATAGATGGGTTAGAAATGTCAACTCGGACCAACCAGTCGGGTTTATGGGTTGACCCGACCCGACGCAAAAAATGGATACATTCACAACAAGCAAGTTCCCTCCCATGATACATCGGTGTCATCGTCTTCTAATCCAACAAAAGAATGGTGAGTTGTTGTGAGTCTCGTAACTTCTAAGCAGACAGGAAGGAGTGTCGTCGAAGGATCCAATGAACGTTTTTAGGGCTTGCGGGCGGAGGCGACATGAATGAACGTCGTCAAAGGAGCCAACAAACGTCGTTAGGTCTTGAGGGAGAAGTCGATGGGAAGGAACGTCATCAAAGGAGCCAGAGAATGTCGTTAAGGCTTGCAGATGGAATTGTCAAACTAGAACATGGGTGAAAATGAAAAGCAGAAAAGCACACCGTTGTACGCAGAACAAAAATGCGGGCATCGCATATGCCTGCGCTGGTTGATCCGGGTCAACTTCAGGTTAGTGGGTGACCTCCCCCAACCCATTTTTCTGAACGAGTCAAATCCTGGAACCCGAACCCGACCCGTTTATAAAATGGGCGAACCTTAACATGAAATTTTTCGGGTCAGGTTCAAGTCGGACTTTTGGGTTATGTTAAATATTGACACCCCTATTTTAAAATAAGGGGAAAATTACTCAATTCATTGATCATTACCACTACAGGAAAACCCAGTATTACCGGCGGAACGTATCCGCCGGTAATACGGAAAATACGACGGAAATCTTTGGTTTCCGACGCATTTTCGTTGAAATTTCGTACGCCGGTTTGGCAAAAAATGTCTTCCGACATCTATACGACGCCGAAAACCTTTCCAGCACACTCTCCGACGCATTACCGATGCAAAATGTGTTAGCCAAAACGTCATTTCTTAACAGATTATTCCGGCGTTATATACACTAGAATTTACGACGTACATATCCGACGGAAATACCGGCGGATAAAACATCGTAAGGTTCGTCCTAAATAAAGCTACGACAAGTTTTCGACGCCCTTTAGTCCCCGAAAACTCCGGCAGATAAGACGTCGTAAGGTGCGCCGTAAATAAAGCTACAACCTATTTCCGGTGCATTTTTCGTCGATATTTTCGGCGGAAATAAAACGTCGGCATCATTGTACCAATTCGTTGTATCATCGTTTTCTGCATATTTTTTATGCCAAATCCGCCGGAAACCTGTAGCAATAACAAAAAAAAATTGCCTTCCCAACTAACAATCGGATTTCCACACCTGCAAACATATACAAATACATACAATAATAGTTCCACAACACATATCTACACATCACAGATCTCAAGAACTTCAACATATACTTAAAAACAAAAATATCCATTAAAACAGATTGTTCAATAGCATCAATCAACTAATATTAAAAACATCACAGATTGTTCAATAACACAAATTCAAAAAAGTAAACAAGTTCATATGACTAAATTAAACTACTTTAAATCCGTGGACTCATCCTCAGCTGGAGCTACCTCTTTTCCACTCAACTACTCCCTCATTTTGTGTATTTCATCCAACAACTGATTGTGTTGCTCCTGCGTCTTTATTTGAAATTGTGCTTGCAACTGAAATTGCCAATCAGCTTGTGATTTTCTTGTTCTAGCTCTACTTGAAGGGCAGTTATTTGTTGACTATATAAGGACTCATGTGAATTGGCTGCGAAGCTGGATGCAGTAGAGGAGGTCATCCCCTCGTATGTCTGAGCTTGTGAATCTAAACCATAAACTCTGCCATGTTGCATTCCTCCAACGGCTTGAGACCAGATGCGGTACTCAAAATACTCCATAGAGCCGCCAGAAGAGCCCTCACTTGATGCGGCATGACTCTCTCGAAGCCGTGTATACTCCTCCTGATTACCAAACGTTACCTATGCTCAGTATGTGGAACGGAGCCGCCAGTATGAAGGGAACTACCCAAGCCCCCAACATCAGAAGCTTTGTTCTGTCGATTTTGATCCCTCCTCCTGCCATACTCTGTGCTGCCCCAAGCAGTGTTCAACTCAGCCCATATAGTCTCTCCAATCCACAATGGTCACTCCCAGACTTTCTAATATCTGTGAACATGTCGCACATTCGTGTAGACCCACACTTCTCAAAATTTTTCTAATTTTATCATTGTGCTGGGGGAGCCAACAAAAATCTTTCTGCATTCAAATACATACAATATAGAATATATATGTTTATTAGCTTAAGTAAAAAAGAATGAATCATTTAATTAAACATAACATAAAAAATAATAACCAAAAATACCTCAAACTCTCTAAACCACATTTCTCGGATTTCTTTCGGGACTTTCTTCTAAGAAATATAAGGAGCGTCAAACCTGCTCTGTAAAATGTCCTGTATTTTATGTGTCGGTTGTTTTGATGGGTTGAACCTACAAAAATAAGGTTAATAAAGAAAAATATATAATATAAAATAACTATGTTCGTTAGCTTAAATAAAAGAGAATGTACGTACGTGTCACTTTTAGGTGCTATCAATATTCGACCATCTGTCGCCTGCTCTGGTGCAGCTGGTGTCGAAGTTCCACATGTAGTAGGCTGAGGGGTGGTGGGGGATAGTATGATGGAATATTTGGTGGATATGGATAAGTAGGAGGGGCACCAGCATAAGGTGGGGGTGGGTAGTATGGGTAGAAAGGAGTACTCTACGTGGGATTTGGTGAAGGAAATCAGGGATCTGCTGAGTAGAACTGCGGGCTACCGGCTTTAGAAGTGGGTAAAGGATGAGTGGTAGGCTGAGTGGTAGCCTGAGTATGTGTAGCAGGTTGAGACTGTGTAGCAGGCTGAGAAGAAGTGGTCCCCTTAGTACGTACTAACCTAGGTGGTCTAGCTATAGCGATCTTCTTGGTGCGCCTATTAAAAATATTTTTTATCAATCCTCTGCTAGGCTCTTCACCTGA